TCCTGGCTACTCGTGTGGAACTTTCGTGTCTATATGCAGTAACTGAGTCTTCCAGTTTTATAAAATTTTTAAAATTAAAATTACATGTCTGTTAAGTGGAATAGTTATGATTCATGGATGTTATAACAAACTTTTACCATCAATTTACAATACTGTTTTTAGGGTAACGCCAAATTAAAAATGATATCCACCATTAATACAAAGCTGAATTACTACAGTATAGGTGAATATAAATAATTTTTATTCTGAGATTATATTAAAGAGTCAATTGGTGTTGTCATTAAAATTGTCCATTGATAATAACAGTTACTAGTGTAGATTCCTCATGAATTTTTTCATTCATTTATTAAAATGTTAGTTTTAATATTTATTGTTCTTGTCATATAAATAACATTTATATTAACATATAATACTTCTAAAAACAGCATATATTCCCAATTACATATATGTTGCTTAGTCTATAAATTTTACGATGTAGCGTGTGATTGGCGTAAGGTGAAACTGTACTATTATGTTATCTTTGCTACTATCGTAATTAGAGGTTTCGTACAGACAAAGACTTGTAATAAACTATAAACATCAGTTAGATATGCCTAAAGCTTGTATAATCCAACACGCACGGTAACAATTTAATTTAACAACTCTTTCAGTGATGTATACATATACATAAATATCGATCTTGTTCCGTAACACTGGTTTCTTGTAATTACATGCAATTTTTTTCATAGAACTTAACATAAAAGTAGGGGTTTTATTAATAGAAGATACATCGTATCTTTTATCAAATGTTGCAAACTATTCTACAAAGCAAACCAATTTCTTACATATGTATTTTCATTAACATACAAGAATAGTATGCACAAGATATGGTATGCAATAAACATTAGAATTGAAATAAGAATCTCTTCATGATTTTTATGTTCCGAAATTATTTTCAGGCTTTAACAGAAATTACTATCGGAAATTCAGTCGTTTATCATGAAAATAAATGTACCTAGGTATAATGAATATATAAGATCGATAGTTTTAAAGATTAATATTTTTTCGTATAGCCAGGTTCAACGTTTCGTATTGTTTAAACAAATCTGAAATGAACATCACGATAACTTCTTAAACCTCCATTTAATTTCACATAAAGATTGAATTATGTTAGGGGCTTTAGTGCATTTGTTTTGGGTGTAATTAATATGAGATGTAAATGTCAGTTGGTGGTCAAAAATAATTCCTAAGAATTTTATTGAATACCTAGATTCAATTATAACGTCCTCGATTTTGATTTTTCTGTATCACCGGGGCAGTATTTTCTTCGATTAAAATGAATGAAAACTGTTTTCCGAGCACAGAGTTCAAGGCCTAAGGATCTGGAATTATTTCTAATTGTAGTTACAGATTTTTCAATTAGGTTCTTAAATCGATTTATTAGACATATTTTCGAGAATATGACTATATCATCGGCAAACTGTAAAACAGCGAGATTGTTGAAGAAACCTCCCATTTTATAGCAACGTCTTTGCACAGAAGTGCTTTCATTATCGATCATCACGATCTACAACTCAGATGTTACTGACCACTGTGCCAGAGTGGTTCTCTCGTATGCATGAATAGGTACTACACAAACGCAGTTCTGGAAGCGTTTCCGTTCATGCATTACCAAGTTGAACTTCAATGCGTGTGCATAGTCGGCGGAGGTTTGTTCTACAGACACGTACACTTCGTACAAAGCCGAGGGCTGTGAAGCTGGCTTTGATAGTCCTGGTTGAATGGTGTACACAACAAATGGATTTGGATGTTAGTGTAGCGGCATGTATGAGACAGATTGCAGGAGCATGATACTAACATAGTCGCCCGTTTAATTACTGCGAGCGTAATTACAATTGAAACTATGCCTACGATGTATTTACGAACAACTACCAATTACCGTCTTTTAACGCTTTAAATTCCAAAGATTTTTATGTAAATGCTAAATATAATTATGTTTATAATTGTAAAATTTTATTGAATAAGTGTATCCACTTCCGACTGATTGTACAACAGAACATGAAATGATTACTTGTACAAAAATACCTTAAAAATATTAAATGATGTTTTTGTTATAAACGACTCTGTTTCACACAAAAGTAATTCGGTATATTTGTCATTACACATACTACTAGATATAACTTCGTATAGAAAAACTTCCTTTATGTAATTTTCAATTTATTTTTATACACGTAATTTTTGCATGCCAGAATGACTCGGTATTGTAGTCACACTCTATGTATACGTAAACACTGGCGAATATAACTGAAACAATTTTGTGATATATTAAATGTTTATTTTGTTTACGTGCTGCATTCTTGGTTACTTACTGATTTATAATTACAAAAATTGACTCAGTTCTGCATTGCCTTTGAAGAAGCTACGCTAGGTACTTAGTTTATTACAATTCATTGAATGAAAAATAATAAATCTGATTACACTGTAGCATAAAACCTTTTCTTCGTATTACTATAGAGGATATCTCACAATAAACGCCGATGGAAATAATACCTAAACTATTGATTTTATAAACGAATGAAAAAGGAAAAATTTATGTCTTTTTCAGGAAGATTTTCTTAATATTGTATAAAAATTTCCTATGTTACTCGGGACATAAAGACCAAATCCTACATGGATCTGTATTTCTGCCAGTCAGCTAATGCTTTGAGACCGTTTTCTTTTTTTATATAGTAGTTTTACCTTTTCAATACACATATCTACTGCTATACCTAATTATTGCAACCTTTTTTCGCATATAAATAATATTTCATTGCTTGGAAACTGTACGTACTACTCGTAAGCATCGGCACGAGGCTTCCTTGTCTGAACAGTGACCGTGGGGTGGGAATCGGCACGTGGCTTTGCTGGGCCGACGAGCGACCGTTTCTCAGATATTGCAGGTTGGACGGCGAGCCGTCGCTGCGACGCAATCCGCGACATTAAAGGCGGAAGCCGCCCCTGTGTGATCGGCGGCGACCTCCAATGACAATCCGCCGAACGCAGAGGTCATGTGTGTGTGTGAGTGTGTGTGAGAAAGCGTTTTACAAAAAACGAATGCGATGACGAGAGGCAGTCAGTCGGTCCCGATCCGTCGAAGTAAAACCATTAACCCACTGAGTACGGTCCCTGGGTCACGCGGTCTCGAGAGCGACACGTACGCAGTGACGGAGCTGTCATGTAAATCGCATAGCGACCGATGTTTGTTTACATACGAACGACCGAGCCAAGACGCCGCAGAATTATTGACTAATAAATATAATTTGTTTTATAATTCACGAGATTTTTATTCTAGTTAGTGTAATAAGAACCACGAAAATCCAAATGTAATGTGGAACCAGCTAATCTAATAGTAATATCGGTGAGGGTCTCGAGCTCGAGCCATACTGGCACTGTGTTAGTACAGTGTCTGTGAGGGCTTCGAGCTCGAGCCTCGCCGTTGCTTTGTAGTAGTAGAATATTGGTGTGGGGTCAGAAATGACATCGGGACCGGTGACCATGTTTCCGTGCTCGGAGGGTTAAACAACCTTACTCTTAAAACGTGTCAGATTCTTTTCCTCCCAGCTCGATATCCTACATACTGTAGGATATTCGGTTTCAAAGAACGGCACTTCCGTGGATAATTCTAAATTAAATTGAAATAGTTCAGTGAAAATTAATACTAGATACATATACATTTTGCTGTCGCTCGCTCTCGTTGCACTCCACACGCCTCACCTTCTGTGACTCTTTCTCAGCGTTCTCACTTACGCACATCATCCGAACGTTCCTTCGGGAAAATAGGGAACTTACAATTTAATTATCTTTATTTTAATGTACTTCCTTTCTTACTGATTTTCGATCTTAACTTAGCAATTCAGCACTTTTCCCTTAGTTAATTCCTGTCCGACCCTCTCAAGATATCGCGTTATCGTTAACAAGCTTTCTGCCCAGGTCACAAACTTTCTGCAAGTATAAAATTGGATCGGATTAAAACTTAACGCGGATCTCTACATAATTGCATTTCTAGCAGCCTCTTCTTGTGACAATAAAACGAATCAAGCTCTTTTCTAATTACACGATATTCAATCTCGCCGCATATCGGAGTAATACGTAATAGTGCCATTAGACTCGAAATAAGAAACAAGCAATATTTTTATGAGGTCAGACCAGTGTAGTGGGGAAAAAAGTTTTTTCCGCATTTTTTAGTACCTGATAATCTTAAAAAAATGACTAAAATAATTTGTTGAAATTCCTAAGAATGATTGGAGTACGCGACTTTGGAGCGAACGGTGCACAGAATCCTTATCCTTATTCTTATACAGGGTGGGGTAATAACTATTACCACCTCAGATATCTTCGAAACTATAAGGTTCATAGAAAAATTTGTTTAACCAAAATTATACAGTACGAAGGGAGCCATCCGATGGTCACCATGAAGGTCAGCTCCATTTTTTTAAATGGGTCAGTATGTTTTTGTCTCCGTAGAACGATAGTGGAACTTAAAACGAGTTCAACAATTCGTATATGTGTACAATATACAGGGTGGGGCAATAAATATGTCCACTTTGAATATTGCCTTTAGTTGTAATAATATGAAAAAATGTTATATGCAAAACTTACACGGTATAGAAGGGGGCATATTGTGACACAAACATTTTCTGCGTGGGTGAAGGCATAGAGGAGATTTCAAGGTCATCTCTATTTTTTTGTAATGGAATGCTATGTTTTTTTTATCGCGATGCGATAGCCGGTGTTGAGACGACTTCAGCGAGCTATCATTGAAGGTCATGCAAGGTGAAATGTGGTAGTAAAATAAACTTTCTTACATTACAGGAGATGCTCGAAGTGGTGACCGTTTGCGTCAATGCAAAGTTGCAATCTTCGTATCGCTGCATCACGTGCATGTCTTATTGTTTCTGAACTTATTCTAGCCCGTTATTATTATCTTTATTTGTTTACAACTGTTTTTGTTGTTAATTACATACTTCTTTTTGATTGTACAGGTCATTCATGGCGTCCATATAGAACCAGCACATGAAGTAAAGAAACGTAGCATCAGTCAACCACTTCGAATTTTGTTATCGTACGATGAGAGTGTCTACAGGTAAGCTGCCCTTTATCTATGATCAAAAATATATTACAAGATTTTTCAAACAAGGTGCATAATTTGGATACCTACGCTTGTTAGAGAATTTTAATTTTTGCAAATCTGAAAAAAAGGTATTTTATATTTCCCATTACTGTCGTTTGTTTCATACGCGTTACATACATGTGTAAAACTAACACTTAGACTAAAATCAAGAATGATGAAATTGCGTTCGAGATTCGTTTCCAAGTTATTAATTGCAGAAAACACTGTATCGACCGATGACCTAGTTACATTTAATGAATGAAATAAAATAAAATCCATGAAACCAACTCGTGAAACAGTAGAATAGCGCGTCTCTTAAGTAGACTAATCCGTCGCGTTAGACGTATTTTACATGTATTTTGACCATACTTTCAACAATTATTAACTCAGAAACGAAGCCTCGAACTTATTATGAAATTATATTGTATAATCGAGTTGTACATTATTAAAATTGTTGGACAGATTTATCACGCTACGATATCGACTGATGAAACTAAAATAAAATAGTTTAATGAGGGGATGAAGTGAAGAGGAAAATGGATTAAAGGTTTCACGTCAGAGGCCGTTGACGTAAATTCGTAGGCGATCTTGTGGCATAGTACGTCGTGAACAGAACATGTACTGTCTGAAACAGGTTTTAAGATGGCTGTCTGCCCAACAAAGTAACTCGTAACTTCGAAACTGGAAGTTCAGCAGCTCAGAAGAGCAAAACTTTCAGAGTATTAGTGTGGAAGTTTCTATGTTGCGTTTGCCACGATTCTTCTTCTTATGAACTCATATTCCCTTGTAAACAACTCCTAACTATATTTGCGTGGAATTCTATTCAGGGTTATTCTAACTGTTCTAAAGAGTACGAAGCAATTAATATTAAAAGTGTATATTACTAAAGTACTTACATCGCTATTGGAGATATGCCTTCTATTTTTGTGTAAAAATATATAATCATAAATATGTAAAATCTGTTATACGTATGGCATGTTTACTTACAATACACAGTGCAACAGTAAAAAATGTATTGGTGCGCGCCTGTTTTATCTAATTACTGGATGTAATTGCTTCAAATACATTAGTATCGCAGTTCGTCACTGAGCATGTATGTATGTATACTCCTTATCGAATACTTTCTGGTGTCCCTGGAATACCTTAATACATTTTATCTCGGTATGTGGTCAGTAAAAAAAAGTCGACGGGAGTATAACCGTGGGATGGTGCTGAACAATTTAACATGACATCAGGACATATTTAACGATCACAAGTTGTAAATTACGTTACTAATGTATTTTACGCTTTAACCGTGTCAGTTGCGTCGCGAAGTAACAATTACAGGATTACTTTGTTGACAGTCCAAATTATTGTATTGCCGTCAAACCCTGCGAAGTTCGTTTTCTGAATAGCAATAAGCCGTATGCGCTTAGGTCGATATCGTGTGCAAAGCACAAATATATAAATACCTCCTTTATTTTGAATGATACTGGAAAATATGTAACACATAATCCGAATGATTTCGAAGAAGGAGCACAGTGCACGGAGAAAATGTAACGTGTAACAAAATAACGATTGACTTTGAAATAACCATCAAGATGACTTTAGGGTGACTTTTTGTTATCATCACCAGGTGCATGTCTTGAAATTATGTAAACTGTTAGTCAGTTTTTTACTTCAAATACCAGTGAAAATAGTTTAGATGTTTATTATAAGTGAGACACTCTGTAGATATAGACACTTTTTTGCTCTATGAAAATATTGGTAAAACGGAACTCGTAACGATTTATACGAACCGTTTCAAGTTAATTAGTGAAACGCATCCAATTCCCCATGAATTACGATGAGACCAAAGTTTCATTCCAGCTGACCAGAAACTGTCTTCGGTAATTAATCGTGTTTTCTCGTTGCCGATAATTAATCCCGTGTCGCTTATACGCAGTGAATGAAAAAAAAAGGTAGAGAATTAAACGGCAAAGCTAGATCTTTCTCGGAGCCAGTGATATCGGCCTATAGAACAGAGAGTGTTAAAATTCCCGTCGAGCGGGACCGAAAACTTGGGCACTCGCCAGACGAACCGCGCTCTATTCGTGTGCAGGATTCGTTCCGCGACTGACATGGCCTTATTCAATTTGGAATTCACCTGTGACCGTCGGCGATATTTGTAAAAGGTCTACGCCGTTCGAGTGGAGCTATGCCAAATGTTTATATCTGTTCCGGATGGATTCGAATATCGAATAAGTGTACAGATGTATACGTATAAATGTACCTGATGTAAATTGATATTGGCGGTTCGAAGTATACGCGTGTCGTATACAGGGTGTTTCAGCTAACTTGATCACCTCGAATTATGACTGAACGGTACAGTTTATGAAAATTATGAGGCAGGAACTTAAATGACATCAAGGGACACATCTTATAAGGTACACCCATGAGCAAACTCGGCTTCCACTAGTGGAAAAAGTGGCGTAAGAGAAAGACCTCCGATCATTTGGTAAATTTATTTCAAGTACTGAGATACATTTTGAATCGAACATTAATTTAACATAAGGTTCAGTAATTTCCGATACCAAGTGGTAGGAGGCCCTTACCCCTACGCCGTTTTTCCCCTAGAGGAAGCCGAGTTTGCAGGTCAGTGTACATACTTTTTTTTATGAGTGGAGGCATTTCAGAGAATTCAAGGTCGCCATAATTTTTTTAACGGAATGTGTTTCAAATTTGAATTACCGCGATTGTCGCAACGCTCTCGTCAGCGACGTATAGAAGTTTTGATACCGAAATTTTTTTGTTATAAACAAATTATATTTTGGACAATTTGTTAGCACCATATTATTATACATAAAAAACCGCAAACCTCGTCCATTAGAAGTTTTCATGTATCTCCTTTGGTTTTCGACATAGTACTTTCGGGTCTAAACTTCAAGGGGTGGTTTCACCCCTTCAAGTCGCGTCTCAGCCGATACAAAAAAATACGTATCCCTTATTTTTGACTGCTTAACAGACATACGAAGTTTCACCAAAATCGGACGGGGACACTTCCGTGCCTTCCCTTGTAAGATGTAATTCACAAACTAAGCATCCCGCGCAAGAGCGGGTACACCAGCTTGTATAATATAAACATAGAGAAGGTATGTCGTCGCGAGGATATTATTAGCACATAATACACAAGCTTACAAATCGTATACACGACAGAATGAAAAAAGCGTTTAAGAAAATCCATATTCTTCCGAGCTCTCCGTTCTCACGATAATACTTTGCTTCATAATCTGGTCTTACGTTAATACTACATGACTGAGAGTGAGTTGCATGCATTTAGAGTGCAGCCCTTAAGAGTGGTCTACCAATTTATTATTTCCACTTTGGAAGTAATGCCTGCTACGGAGGAGCGCTTAACTCCTACTTGAGACGCGCGGAGAGGTTGGCGTGTACTCTAGCCATTCACGAACTTTCGCGTTTATATCGGACCGAGCAATATAATCTTCTGTTTAAATTGCGTGTAGTAAAATTTCGCAGTGAAATAATGCAGTGACATAATCTCCGTTTCAACCTTTGCATTGACGAAGGCGAGAGTTTAAAACAGTTCTTCGCTTTAAACGGTATCTGACAGTTTAATCGTAGAACTTATTTTTTTAAGAATTGTAAAACTTATTGTATTAATCAAAGTGTCTCGCAAATAGTAACACGGGCAAGAAGAAGGTAATTTTGCATGCAGAAATACACTGAATTAAATATTACTCGTTATTTCTATTTGCAGTGAATAGTGGTAGTGGTACTATTTATCTATTTTTTATCAAACTTATTACAGTAGGTGCTATTATATTATTGTACAAAGTAAATCATGTCTTATTAAAATGAATTGGAAAAACATATTCAAAAACTTCTCTGTGTATTGATACTTGAAAACTTTAAGTGAGACTCATAGAAAATCTGCATAAAAAAGTTATTGCGTTTTTCGAATAGACTATTTTTCATTAAAAAACCATTGAACAAAAAGACCAAAGTTGATAATTTATTCCAAAAATTGCTTTCAAATTTTTAAATTTACATGCAAGAAGTAAGTATACTTTAAATAATAAAATTCTTTGAAGTTGAATAAGATGTAAAAACCACTAAATGAGCCGACATTTCATATACACCGACCTCATGTGCCACGTATACGGGTAACGATGTAAGTGAAAATGTGGTTATAGGAACAGAACGTTGTTGTTAGCGTCGTCAGTCGTTTATAAAATATTACCGTACCTGATGTTTTTCAAAGGCAGTAGCCTTTCGAATGCAGCTACACGCGCACAAGTTGGACTCGTTTCAGCATCAAAGGATCGTCCTAATTGGCCGTTTACATTTGCGCTTGTAAATTGTACATTGCCCAGGATTCCTCTTGCCCTTCGCTACCCTTTTCGCTCTCCTGTCCCTGCGTGTACTTCCACCGCCCCAGCCTTCGTTTCGGTCAATGTTTGCCCTGGCGCAATGGTACACTGCAACCGTACGGTTCTAGTCCAAATGCCTCCGAGCGGCGTCCACATAAATTAACCGGCACTGCTCCGCTATCGTAAATTAACCATAATATTCATATATGCTTATCGACACTGTTAATTACATCGCACACGTTCCCCGCTGTTCAGAATTCATAACGCACCCATGTTTGCGGTTATTAAAACTGCTAGAAGACTTTATAAAATCTACCAAGCTTCGGTATTAGTCAACTGTCCTTTCTTTTCAATATAAAATTCGAAAATTATGAAGAGAGTTGTCTTGTGGTTTTATTACTATAATCCTTATATTTAGTGAGTGTAAAAGTTTTTATGGGTTTTGCTCTAAAAGAGTAAACTAATATATGTAATAATAAATTTAATTATAATTTAATAATAATTCAATTAAATACGTAATGATTCTATTATAACATATGTGTTTTCGATAGAAACTATTATTCTAATGAACAAATTTTTCGAATATTATTATTTAGCGAATTTATATAATTAAATTATAATATT